TGTCCTCGGTACGGTTTGAGGATGTGCAAGGCTGGGTGATGGTGATATGAAACAAAGGCCTTTTGTAGCTGTTCCCTGATTTGGTCCCTCACCTGCTCTGTTAGGGGGCAAGAACAGGTGTATGTAACTACGCTCATTGACGGGAAAGGCGACGGGTCTGGTTAGTGGCAGAACCAGGACAATAGGACTGCAGCTCCTGCAAGTCCGGGTTCCTTCCCTGTTCTCTACACAGGGCCTTGTGCTTGTTCAGGGGAATCTTTGCGGTCTGTCGATTCACGGTGTGTGTGTACCTCAGGCCCCACGTCTGTGTCCCGTGTCATAAGTCATAAAGGCACAGCCACGGCGCTTACTAGGGCAGGTCCTGCTGGGAGAGTCTCCCGTGTATGTATTTCCTCAGGAATCCTCACAACCCCGTGAGGTGCTATCACTTTCTCTACTGTGCAGACGAGGAACGCTTGGCCCGGGGAGGTGAGTGACTTCCAGCGCCTCACAGCAGACACGTGGTGGAGCTGGGATCGGAAGCCCATTCCCCGGCTCCAGAGTGCCGGCCCTTTCCCCCCACCGTGCTCTCCTCTCACAGAAAAAGTAGTAGTACCACAAGCTGGTGCTCGCCCTCACAGTGTGGGGTGCTTTGTGATATTTGCTCTTGTATCCTATTTGATCCCCTAAATGCTGGTTCCCCCCCCGCCCCCCCCCCACAGTGGTTTCCTGACCCTCCCTAATCTGTCTCAGTCTGGGTTTTGGAAAAGTCTGTTAGGTTCTACTTCCCCAGCACCTCTCAGTGCGTCCCCACCTCTCAGTGTCCATCCCCGTGGCGGCTGCCCCAGTTCAGGCTCCCCATGACTTCTTCCCTGGACCTTCTTCCTGGATGGCTGTGAGATCCTCCTAACTTTTGTCCTCCGTCCGTTCTCCATGCGGAGACCAAAGTCACCTAAAAAATACATTTCTGACCATAGTGTTCGTAATTTAAGGCGCTAAGTCCACCTTTGCTGTTTGGGGCCTAGTGTTCAGTCCATGAAGATGGTCGGTCAATGTATGAGGGAATGCAGAATTAGAAAACGTACTGTGTATTTGTCCTCAGGATGAAGATCTTCTCCCAGGTAAGTATTCTGAGGTCGACTTTCCAATGATAGTCACGAGAAAGCCGCACAGCACCACCGAACCTCACTGTGGGGTTGCTCACAAGGTCCTCGATCTTGGGACGAGCACGTGGCCCTGCAATGCTCTATGAATGGAGAACACACAGGATGGACGTGCCATGCACACACGTGCTTTGGTCAGACTGAACTCCCCTTTTGACCCCACTATTGGGGAAAAAAAGAAGCAAAAGCTGTGGAAAACTCACACTTTCATATGTCTGCCAGCCTAAAGAGTAGGTCCAGTACAGCCACCTGCCCCAAAGACGTTGAAAGATGTGCCCCAGATAACGGGGCACATGACAGTCACCTGCAGGAGCTCTCAGAACCACCCGTCGTTCCTGTTGCAGCAGCCTGATGGTCTACCAATTCCGGTCTGTTCTGTCATTTCATAATCGATCATGTTTCCTGTCAAGCATTAAAGCAGCCCCAAAGAAACCTGGAGAAGAATCGGCTCCCAAATCCAAAGGGAGAAAGGCTTTTTCAAAAGCTATTCAAAATTAAACTAAAAGTCGTCCCAAGGCGTTTCCACAATTCTTTCCTCGCAGTTCCCAATTTCTCAATGTCAAGGTCTTGGGCAGTCCGGTCCACAGGGGCCCGGCTTTGGAGACAGCGGCACCTCTACAGTGCCTGGATGGACGCCCGAACCTCGTAGGCGGATCCGATGGGCTCTGATGGCCCCTTACTTATTTAGTGCCATGAGGCACTGGGAGGTGGAGGGTCTACAGCGGCGGGGCGACCCGGAAAGCCTGAGGCCATCGCCCGCAGAGCACAGCGTCCGCTCGGCCTGGGGCTCACTGGTTCCCGGAGTTTTCAGCCAGGGCAAAGCCCGGGGGAGGGCAGGGGAAGGCTCGGGTCCAGTGCGCCCAGGGCGATGCTGGGTGGGGCCTGGACAGAGGGCGACGGGGACAGCCGACCCACCCAGCTGCTCCCCAGGGGCTCGGGCAGCGGCACCGAGCCGGGCTCCAGGTCTTGGCGTGGCGCAGCCCCAGGCCCAGACCCCGAGGCCTGATGTGGGGCGGCGGCAAGGGACAGAGCGCGCGACCAGGAGAGCAGCCGGCCCTCCCGCGCCCGAGCCTGGTCTGGGCTCCTGCCGATCCGGATCGACGCGCTCGCCTGCCCACGGTCTGGTTGGTCAGCTGCTTCATGCAGCTGGATTGCTTCTTGCTGGCGGCGGCGGCGGGGGCCGGCACGGCCAGGGCCGGGCAGCTCGAGGAATCGCCCGGGGGGAGGGGGGCCGACGTCGCTTCATGTCCACCCGAGGCGGCAGTGGAAGCGGCTGTGGGCCCGGCGCCCCCCCCTCGCCGCCTCTCATCCAGTGGCGCGGCAGGTCGGGGCCTTGGGAGGCCAGACCCGGGACGCGGTACCCAGCCCGTCCTCCACCCAGGGCGGGAACCCCGGGGCCGCCCTGTGCAGGGCCCGGAGGCCCCCTCTCGGGCACCGCCACCGCCGCCCGCGACCCCCTGCCGGGTCCAGCCGCACACCTCCGCGAGGCAGCGGATGCGCGCAGCGCACGGAGCCACCGGTGAACCGCCAAACCCCGGTGTGGGACGCACTGTCCCCGCAGAGCTGGCAGGGCACGGAAGGACGGAACACTCTGGAGCCTCTGGAGGCTGGAAATGCCCAAAGTCTCCTTGAGGGCCGTGCCTCTGCGCAGGTGTAGATATTTGTCAAATGCACCTAGGATCTGCTCTCCTAGGTGAATGGATGCATTGCATGCATTGCATGCATTGCATGCATTTCCTGGGGGAAAGTCCAGGGCCAGATGCATTTTCTGTGGGCGGGCACCTGGGGGCAGTCAGGCAGGAGCACTCGCTAGGGGCCCACCCAGGACAGCCAGGAAGCGGGGAACAGGGGAAGGGGCCCAGCCCTGCGTGGGAAGTCGTGGGGCTGAGCGTCTGGGACCGGGACCGGTGGCCAGAGTCGGCCCTGGGAAGGCCCAAGGTCTCGGGCTTTCCTAGCAACGTGGCCTGCGCAGGGGAGGCGCGTGCCGGGCCCGCGCAGGCGTTGCCTAGAAACGCCTGTTGTCTTCTGATTCTTAGCCTGGCGCAAGCAGGCGTTCTGGGACACTTGGCGGGGTAGTCCGACTGCGCTGGACGCTTTTCCACAGCGGACCGCGACAGTTATATGACCCGCGAAGATGTGCTCCTGGGTTGGTGGCCTGGGCTCTGGCCTAGGCCATTCCCAGGGAGGAGTGGATGGCAGTGAGACTTCCTTGACCGGCTCCAACTCGGATCTCACCATGGACTTTGGTGATGTCATATCATCTCAGACAGAAATCAATAGACTCCTCAATGAGATCCAAAGACTGGAGGCTGATCTTACACTTTGGAAACATTTGTCCAAGGGACCGAATAGCTCAGACTCCAATGCCATCTGGAAACTGAAGAGCACCATCAGGGACCTAGAAGAGAGGCGGATGAGGGAGATCGAGGAACATCAACTCGGAGTTGCGATACTGCACAGTGTCCATCAAGAAAAACTGGCCGACATCACTGACAGGCACCGCAAACAACTCCTCGAGTATGAAAGACGGATAGAAGACCTGCAACATCAAGAGTCTGCCAGTCATGGGAAAGATGACTTACTTCAAGAAAGGGAAACTGAGCTTAGAAGGTTGAAGCAACAACTTGCAGAAATGGAGCGGCTGAATGACCGTTTAAACAACGTTGCTTCTGATCTCAGAGCAGAAAACCAAAAGTTGGTTTTGGCGCTCCAGGATGTAAGACATCAGCTGGAAGAATCTATTCTCCGGAACAACGAGGATTCTCTGGAAAACAACACTGCTGTGAGGGCTTTAAAAATAGAAAAAGGACGGTTAATAGCAAAATTGGCTCGGGCGGAAAAGAAGCTGTTGGAGGAAACAAACAAGGATGAGCAAACTATCAAAGAATTGTCCCCTTTAGAGCATGTGCATTGCATTCAACACAGTCAAGAGAAAGACCTGGAAATAGTACACCTCAAAAAGAGGATCGAGCAGATGGACGCCGACCATACAGAAACGAAGGAAATGCTGTCCTCTGCTCTGGAGGAGCAGAAGCGATTGACACAACTCGTTAAAGAGAAAGAGATGTATATTGAAGAACTTACAGGAAGTCCAGAGCTTCAGGAGGAATTCGGTCAGTCTACCCAAACCTTCAGAAGTAATGACATTTCCCAGCCATCCGTGGAGGACAAAGACAGGTGTCTCCCATCCGTGACAGGCGAAAATCCTCATCTGAGAGAAGAACTGGAGAGCCTAGGACAACAGAGTCGCTCTGTTCCTGCGCTCGACCCTAAAATCCTAGACGAGATCGTAGAACTGGAGTGTGAGGTGTTTCAACTCCAGGAGTTAAAGGATGATCTCGAGGAGGAAATCAGAGAGCAGCAGAAGATCATTCACAACCAGCAGCAGGGGAAGATAGGACTGCTTCATTCTTTACAAGAGCAGAAGCAGAAAGTGGAGCAGCTCCAATACCAGCAGGAGCAGATGAATATTGAACACGCTCAGCTCCTTTCAGCGAAAGACGAGGAGATTCAGCATTTGCAGGACACGATAGACCAAATGAAAGCCCGGTTGCCTGACAAAAGCCAGCACATTCCGACAGAAGACTGTGATGATGTGGAAGTCCCAACCAGTCAGCCTCTTCCCAGACAAAACGCAAGTGAAAAGCTTGATTCACGTGAAGCCGAAACTCAAATATCAGTCCTAGGAATCAAAGAACACGAACTGGAGATGAAGCTTCTAACTGAACAGAACATCCGACTGACGGAACAGATGGATCGGCTCTCCAAAGAGGAGATTGGTAAACTAACTCAGATTATCCAGCAGAAAGACTTGGAGATTCAGGGTCTTTCCAGCAGGATCTCTGCGGCTTCTCACAGCCAGAACGGGGACGTGGAGCGACTTCAGCGGCAATTGCAAGAGTACGCTTGGAAAAGCGAACAGGTCTTGGCGGTCTTAAATGAGAAAACGAGGGAGAACAGCAATCTGAGGACAGAGTATGACAAAATGGCGGATAGGATGGCTGCCACAGAAGCAGACCTCCGGCGGATGCAAGAGGAAAATCAAAAACTGTCCACTAGAATGGACAGTAGTGGTCAGGAGATGTTTAGAGAAACGATTCAGAATTTATCACACATCGTTCGAGAAAAAGACCTCGAAGTGGATGCGTTAAGTCAGAAATGTCAGACTTTATTGACACTCCTGCAACCCTCCAGCCCTGGTAATGAGGTTCGAGGCGTTCATATGGATCAGTTCAAGCAGCTTCTACAGGAACGGGACACATTAAAACAGCGAGTGAAGATCATGGAAGAGTGGAAACAGCAGGTGATGACCACAGTCCAAAATATGAAGCGTGAGTCACCCCAGCTTGAGAGAGAGCTGGCACAACTCCAGGCGCGGGCTTTCACCAGCAGCGAGAAGGATTCTGAACTACCGACGACCTCTAGTGACCTGATGCAGACGTACAAAGGCAATGAAATAAAATTACAACATTTAGAGAAGGAACTGGCACAAATTCAGCTCAGCATCGGGGAGCTTTGCAATGCCAAGGATCTCCTTCTAGGGAAACTGGACGTGATTTTCCTCGAGCCCTCCCCCGACTGCTCAGAGTCAGCGGACTCTCTGGAGCCCGTGAAATCTGACAGAGTGGGTGAGGCTTCTGAGTTGCTCCAAGTGGAGGTAGAAGAGCTGAGAAAATCAATGCAAGAAAAAGATAGGATGATTCGAACCCTCCAGGAAGATAAGCAGAGATGGACTGATTCAGTGGCTGCCACGTGGGAAGGAGAAGGCCCAGAACAGGAACACAGGGATTCCGACATCGAGCAGCTGAAGGAGAAACAGGCCGTTCTACAAAACTTCATTCGGGATCAGGAGCTCCGAATCCAAGCGAAAAGTGAGGACTTGCTTTCTTTGCAGGAGAACTTCCGTAGCCAAGTGAGTGAAAATGAACTTTTGAGGCAGACGGTCACCAATCTGAAGGAGAGAATAGCAGAGTTGGAAATGGATGTGTGTCAACCGAGAGAGGAAAATGCAAAAGTCGAGGAAAACTCTCGAGAAAAGGCAGTGGGAGATGAGGCACTGCAAGAGACAGATAGGCTGCTTTCAGTGATGCGGAGAGAGGAGGAATCCCAGGGTGCTGCGATGAAAGAGAAGGCACTTGCTTTGGAGCAACTATCGCAAGAGAGAGAAGAGCACGAGACCGGGGTATTGAACCGGCCGGTCAGTGCAGTTCCATCAATGCAGGGAAAGACAGTTCTGTGCCAACAGGGGAGAGATGAAGTCCTGTTGGCCCTGACACAGAAACAAATGGAAACCTGTGCCCTCCAGAAGGAGGTTCGCCATTTACGTGAGAGCGAATTACGCCTAACCCAGGAGCTGGAGAGACGGCGACACCTCGCTCTAGAAGCCGAAGACGCTCATCGCCGGGAAGCTCTGGCCTCAGAAGACAAAGTGGCTCAACTCAGGAAGGAAGTGACGGTCTTGCAGGGAAGACTCGTTTTGTCTTCCACTGCCATGGAAAATGCCAGCCGAGGAGCCAGTCTGCAGGTAGAGTCGCTGCAGGAGCAACTGCACGTGGTGACCCAGCAGAAAGAGGACACTGCGCTCCAGCTTGCTGCCTCGCAGGAAGAAGGAAGGCAGTATGGTCACATCCTAGCTGACCTCAAGTTGGAACTCGCCGAATGGATGGAAAAGGCAGACAGCCTCGAAGGAAAACTGAAGTCATTGCAGGGACGATTACATAAAACAAATGCTGACTTGGAGCTGAAGGAAGACCAACTCCAAGAATTCCAGAAACAGAATGAGGTCCAGCAGGAAATCCTGGAGGACACACAGAAGAAACTGATGAACTTAGTCAGTAAGTCCGAAGGAATGGTGGACAAAACCCTACTAAGGAGACTCTTCCTGGGATCTTTCCAAGCCCCTGACGCTGAACGGCAGGAAGCCTTAAGGTTGATGGGAAGCATGCTGGGGATCCGAGAAGACCAGATGCGGCAGCTGTTCAGTGAAGGGCCAGGTGGTGGTACCAGCTGGATGAGTCGGGGGCCTGGATCCAAAAGCGCCCCCAACACACATGTGAAGCCAAATCACCGACCTATGGCCAAGAATTCTTTTTCAGGGCTTTTCGTCCAGTTTCTAGAAGCGGAATCTCATTCAGCTTTGCCACCACCAAAGCCCTCTGCTCATGACGTGAAGCCCCCAGATCCCGGAGGAAGGGGAAAACTGGCTATGAAACAAGGCCCAGCACGTCTGAACACTACCCTAGCATCCACATCCCGGAAAAAAGATGTGAAGCCCCGCACCACAACGGTGTCTCTTATTACCCCACCTGGACCGGAAGCGGATGGATCGGAGCACCTTCTTCTAAATGCCGTCACTGATGCTTTGCCCACGTACGCACCCCAAATACTGTCACCTGCGGAGAAGGTTGGAATGGCGGCCAAAGGCCTCTCAAAGAAATAGAGGATTCTCAAGCCAGAGATGAGACAGTGCTCGGAAGACCCCAAGTCACTCTGTGTGTTTACCTAATCCCAAAATGTCCTTTTGCAAAACGTAATATATTTGCAGTCTTGCTTTCAGCTTAATAAAAATATTCTTTTATGAGTTAACAAAAAAAGGCATCTTTTAATGACTGCAGAGGTATTCACCAAACTGAAAATGGTGGGTATTTCTTATGAGAGTAGACACTGGTGGGGTTGGGGGCTGCGGTCAATGGTACTTCCAGTATTGTTTGTAATGCTTTGATGTTTTCATAAGGAGCATGTATATACATATACCTTTGGTAAGGAAAACATCCACTCGTTTTAATGTTCCCAACTTATCAAATACATGAGCACCCACGCCTTGTTGGAGAAACTGGGTGTATAGCATGAAAGTTTAAGATGAATACATTTTTTTAAAAAATGCGAGTTTGATTTTCCCAGTTATGTCCCATTTCTCTTTCTCCTTTTTTATTTTTAATTGTTTTTTCCATTTCATTTTATGTTGCCTGGGAATCTACTTCATGGGTAACCTGATTTATCTCAGGCCTTTAGAAATATATGTATATTTGTCTTTTTGGGCGTATAGTATTCTATGACTTGCTTTTAAAAAAAAAAAATCACTCTGCCTTCGAGATCTTTACAAATGTGAATGAATTCCAATTCATTCTTTAAAAGGAAATGCAGGCCTTTGTGGATATACCCTAAATTACCGAACTAGCTCCTACTGATCAGTATTTAATCAGTTTTTACTTCAAATGTCCATGGTCAACTCCCTTGTTCCTTTCCTCAGAAGCCACTCCAAATCTTCGTTTGCAGTGCCAGGCTCATTACTCCACTATACTCTGGAAACCATCCACTCAAACTTCTTTTCTTCTCCTTCTCCTTCTCCTTCTCCTCCTTCTCCTTCTCCTTCTCCTTCTCCTTCTCCTTCTCCTTCTTCTCCTTCTCCTTCTCCTTCTCCTTCTCCTTCTTCTTCCTTCTCCCTCTTCTTCTTCTTCTTCTTCTTCTTCTTCTTCTTCTTCTTCTTCTTCTTCTTCTTCTTCTTCTTCTTCTTCTTTTTAACGATTTTATTTATTTATTTGACAGAGCAGGAGAGCACAGGCAGGGCGGGTGGCAGAGGGCGAAGGAGAAGCAGGCCCCTTGCTGAGCAGGGAGCCTGATGTGGTGCTTGATTCCCGGGTCACTGAGATCATGACCTGAACCAAAGGCAGACGCTAAACTGACTGAGCCACCCAGGCGCCTCCCATTCAGACTTCTTGAAAGATCTCATTCCATTAATTTTCCATTGTGCTGTATCTTCAGCCTGCCAAATATCTTAAATCCTTCCCTCCCTTTCTGTTGCCAGTGCTCTGGTTCACCCATTCCTGTCTCTTGCACAGACTAGTGCAGTAGACTGCCTACTGATCTTGCTGGTTCCACACTCGGCCTCCTTTGAATCCATTCTCCATGCTGCTGTCAGGGCGAACTGAGACGAAAATCTGATGTCACTTCCCTGCTGCCATTATTTGTGGGTTCCCTCATTGCTTGGAGTTCGACCTTTAGGAGACCATCCAAGCCCTTGCTTTTGCAGCCTTCCCTCCTGCGCATCATTCACATACAGGCTGCCCTTTAGCCGCAGGGAATTCTTACAAGCCCCCAATAGATTCTTATCCAAAGAACTTCAAGTGCATGAGCCTCATCGTTGTGCCTTGCCAAAGGTACAAAGCAGAAGGATTTCATTTTTCTCCTCTTCACCCGTTGGTAAAGGGAGTGATTCCCACCCTAAAGTTATGGGATGTCCGGATGCTGAACAGATGAGCTCGACACTAATTTATTACCCATGTCTACTCGTGGCCCACACCATGCAGGGCCACAAGGGGGTTTTACCTGGGAGCAGAATGAAGAAGGGCTTTGGGGCGGGGGCAGACCTTGTAGTAACAAGAGAGTGACGGTGAGCCCTACTTCCTGCAGGAGGGCATGACTGGCTTGCTGGATAATTGCACACGCTGTCAGGGAAATGGACCTTACTCCTTGGGGAGAAACTGTGCCTGGTCCCTGGGATAAAGAAGGTCGTTTGGCCAGGAGACCTGATCTGTGGGAGCAGAGGGGGAAGGGAACTTTGGGTGAGACCGAGGCCATTGGAGGCCCTCTGATGTTCCCTGATACTAAGACAACACTTCCTATTGAATCTTAATCTCAGGCTTTCCATCACAGTGGACTCTGATATCTAGACATCAATTTCAACCTGGGACTGAGACTTTTAAGGAGTAGGACAGGTGCTTCTCTAGGAAGTGAAATTGTCACGTGAACAAGAGGGGGAGTTGGTCTTCAAAACCAAAATGTATCAACGGTCATTGATGGTCACTCAGTTGATCCCAAGGGAATCCTTAGGTAGCCAAGGGGTAGAAGGAAAGGCTGACGTCCTCCAGCACCATGGAATCTGGCAATGGACTGTGGATAGAAGCAGCCACCCCCACCTGCAGGTTGGATATGCAGACTTTGGCTTCAGCCTGTAGCAAGAAGGCCTTGGTAACTACATTAAGCTGGTGGGGGTATCATGACCCGAGGCAGAGCAGACAGCGGGATATGAAGGCTCAGAGTCTGTAAGAGACTCCGTTTCCAGGAGAGCCCAGTGCATGGTCAGCAATTGCTGCTTTCATGGTCTATAACCCAGGGCCAAGGAGGGCCATTTCTTGCATTGGGAGTCCATGGACGATTCCAGTGACTCCAGGAAGCTGGAGAGGTAGTTGCTAAAGCCTTTTTACTTAGGGCACTAACGGGTGATTTTTTTTTTTTTTTTAAGATTTTATTTATGTATTTGAGAGACAGTTGGAGCTGGAGGAGGAGGTCAAAGGGAGTGGGAGAAGAAGCAGGCTCCCCACTGAACAGGGAGTTCCCTGCCAGGCTGGATCTCAGGACCCTGAGATCATGACTTGAGCCAAAGGCCGACGCTTCACCAACTGAGCCAGCCAGTCGCCCCCTCACAGTTGTTTTGGACAGATCCTAGAGCCTTTTGTTGAGGGGAGCCCCACCCAGCGTGGGCTCAGTGACAAGTAGCAGCCTAAATGGGCTTATGTAAAATTTATAAACAAGGAATATGTTGCCTCTAGAACCAAAAAAAAAAAAAAAAAAATACTGACAGAATTTGGACTTGTATGTCCTTCCTTGTTTGTAAGGATTTTATTTGGTTACTTGAAAGAGCACGAGAGTGAGAGCACAAGGGGCTGGTAGGGGCAGAGGGAGAGGGAGAAGCAGGCTTCCCAGTGAGCAGGGAGCCTGATGCGCGGCTTGTTCCCAGGACCCTGGGTTCATGACCTGAGCCGAAGGCAGACGCTTAATGGACTGAGCCACTCAGTCGCCCCTGCACCTGCATGTCCTTAACAAGTGTGTCAAACAAATGTCCTCACAGTAGGTAGTCGTAAATGTGATGTCATACCTATGTCCCTGGAGAAGGACGGGTGCAGTAAGATCCTGCCCACAAAGATGTCTGTGATAGCAGAGAGGTTTGGGTGCCCTGTGCTTAACAAGGTAAAATGTGTCCCCTTCAAAGTCAAGGCACATTTGACCGAGAGGATGTTGAAATACGCATGGAACAGAACATATTGGCCAAATCTATATTAGCAAAATATTCCCCATCCTTAAATTTGTTGGGCTCCCTTGTGTTTTTTTTTAAAGATTTTATTTCTTTATTTTAAAGAGAGAGACACCTAGTGCACGAGCCCAGTTGGGGCGGGGGGGGGCGGAGGGAAGGGCCGAGTGAGCGATTCCCAAGCTGACTCCACCCTGAGCACGGAGCCTAACATGGAGCTGGATCCTATGAACCTGAGACCATGACTTGAGAAGAAAGCGTAGCCCACTGAGCCACCCAGGTGGCCCTAGGGGTCTCAGAGGTTTTCAGGGGACCAGGATTTATTTTAATCAGGTATGATAAGTTAGGAAGATATAGAAGTAACTGTCACAATGGAAGAAGTTTTGTAGATTTAGAGGCCCCAAGAAAGGAGGTTCTGAGAGCCTTGCAGGGCCACCTGGGGAAGCACCAGGATTGGTCAGGAGAAAGAGGGAGTGAAGGGAAAATGTGGGCAAGACCCTTTATTGTGGTTTCCATGGGAAGGGACAGGTGAGGCAGGATAAGCACGTTTAAGACTGGCTAGTTTGAGTAATTTCAGGGGGCTCCAGGCCAGAGTGGTGTCTGCAGGAGTCTGTCCCGCCCTTGCGGTGATCAGGGAGGCCATAGTGGCCCAGAGCTGCTTAAGATGAGGTGGTTGGCAGTAAGGGTTCTGTACCGGTTGGTTTGGATGTGAAAGGTATGCTCCCAGGCCAGTTGTGGACTTTTTCTAAGAATTAACTAAGCCTGCCAGGGACAGTCCCTCCAAAGTCAGCAAGTCTGAGATGTCAAAGCATTAAATACAGAAGCTAGAAAATACGGTTATTTTACTAGGTACAAGCATAATTGGAGCCCTGGTATCGAATCCATGAAGGTTACCCAACTGGTACATCTTAGCAGACATTAACGTTAATTCAGAACCTATGTTTTAGAGGGCCAAAAGCCAGTTGACCTCATTTTATCTTTTGCCATATAAATTATCTTAGTAAATTTGGATTTCTTTTTTTTTTTTTTTTTTTTTTTTTACGGTTTATTCATTCATTTGAGAGAGAGACAGCAAGCAGGTGTGAAAGAGCAGGAACCAGGGGGAGCTGCAGGCAGAGGCAGAGGGAGAAGCCGACTGACTCCCCTCCAAGCAGGGAGCCTCTCATGGGGCTCAATCCCAGGTCCCCGGGATCACGGCTGGAGCCGAAGTCGGACGCCTAAGCATCCGAACCACCCAGGCGCCCCTGTGAATTTTGGATTTCCAGTTGGGTCAAATTGTGAACCTATGTCGAATTAATTTGGGGGGGTTCCTCTTCCTGTATCCAGTTTTCTTTCTTCCATTCCTCCTTTTCTTGGGTTTGTTTGGTCCTGGATATATGCTTGGGTTAGGGAGTGTCTTTTTACCCTGTTCATCTTTCTCCGTTTTTTCTTCCAGAGAGTCTCCAATCAGCATCATTAGGGTTGGAGCCTCTGTCGTGGCAATGGTCGTATGGTTTCAGGTGTCCTGGCGTAAGTCAGGGTGTGAATTGATACCCTCACTGTGCCACAGGGGTGCCACGGATGTTTCCCCCACGACCCTGAGGATGGCGATCTTGTGCCAAACAGGTTTAGGCAGTGGGGTGGTAAGTGAAAGAGCACAGGACCCACAGCGCAGACGTTGATAAAGCCAAAGCATCTTCTGCTACAGCCCTACCTTCTCTCAGTGTGGACGGCTTCCCCTCCCCCCTTTTCCCACTCTACCGATTCCCTCAGGAGACTATTTCATTTCTAGCCCCATAAAGTCATGGGTTTTTGTTTCTGTCTCCAGCTATTCAGACGTGGTGCACATGTTCTGGGTGTTTATGGGGAAAGGGAGCTGGGTGGGTCGGCCCCACAGATGACTGTCCTCTTCCTGCGGGCATGCCAGTCCATCTCCCCAGTGTTGGAGTCCACAGCCAGGAAGGTCATTTTGTCCATGGCCAGAGTGGGAGCCTCAAGGCCCTGGATCCAGAGATGAGTCCCTGGACGCGCTGGGAAGCAACAACACTAAGAGAAAGCAAGTGTGTGGAGGAGGGGTTTTGCACTGGGAGAGAGGTGGAGCACCAAACGGCCGACCCTCCACTTTTGTGTTTCTCATCAGCTCCTGGGCCCTGGGCTGCCATGGATGTGCGCCTCCAAACCCTGAGGGCTCCGGGGGACACACGGTAACGGGGAGAGGAGCGGCAGCTGGGGAGATGGGCAAGGCCACTCGCGTTGCCTGACCCACAGTGACTCAGGAGGCAGCCAGGGAGCCATTCTTACATCTCCCTGGGGTCGTGGCCCCCTTCCTTTCCACCCACAACACAGAGGGTCATCCCCAGGACGGTGCGTGGGGTGCGCTCTCCCCACCCGGATCTGTCTGTCTGCCCCAAGCACTGGCCCAACACCCAGTCGGTGGAACTCAAGCACCCCAGTCAGCAGGTCGTGGGGTTGCCGACCTCAGCGGGGAGCCTTGGAGACCGATACAGGCCAGATGGAGGTCACACTGATGGCACCTCCCTCCTAGGTACAGTCAAGTCGCATCTGTACTCAACTTGTTGGCAAGGATGGGACATTGGTTTGGAAACGGATGGCGACCTCCATTGGAGCTAACAGAACACGAGCTAACACACAAGCTGGCCCGCAGTTGCCAGTTCCCTCCCAGATCGTGATTGTCCCCTCTGAAGCCAGTTAGGAAGCCAAGGAGCACGTCAAGCTGACCCCGTGTCCTCAGTTAAGGTGGGGCCACCCTGTTTGTGATGTCACTTGCTTTTATTCAGCTTCTCCTCAGTTCCCTGACGAGAGAGAGATTCCTGCTCTAGGCTTGTAGGGATCCCTTGACACCTGACAGATGTGACTGGCAGCAGTTGACTAGTCACATATTCTCACAGTTCAAGGGAGGAGGATACCACACACTGTGCAGGGCTGCACAGGAATTGCACTTGGGAACAGAGGGAACAAGCAGGGGCTTGGAAGGCAAGACTTTGTCCTAACAAGAAGGTGGGGCAAGTCCTGGTTCCCTTGGGAGGGTATGAGTGGCTTGCTTGAAGAATTCAGTGGGCTTCTAGGGAACTGAACGCTGCTCCCCCAAATCAACAGGCACTATGTCTGGTCCCTGTGATGAGAAGGGTTTTTGCTTAGGAGACCTTACGTGTGAGGGAGGAGGGAGAGGAGAACTTGCATTAGGCTGTTTCCGTCCCTCCTTGATTGTCCCTGGTGTGAAGACAGCCCTTAATATGGAATCTTCATTTCAGGCCTTATGCCCCAAGAGGTTATGAAAATGTCAGCCTTCTTACAACTACTAATGGCATTTCACAGTGAAACAGTATACAGAAGAAACATGTAAAAGTTGTATTGCTGTATGCTAGCAACGAACATGTGGGCTCCACTATCAAACATACGTTCACAATTACTAGTAAAACTATACTTAGGGATCAATCGAACAAAGCATGTCCAGCACTCGCATGCCCACAGCCGTTAGCACTGATAGAGGAAATCGGAGATATAAATAAATGCAGAGATATACCATGTTTGTGAATTGGAAGCCTAAGCATAGTGAAGATGTTCATTCTGCCCAGATTGATAGATCGATTTAATGCAATTCCTGTCAAAACCCAGTCAGGGTTTGTTTTCTTTTGTAGATTGATAGACAAGATGATTCTAAAGTGTATGTGGATAGACAAAGGAATGAAGAGTAGTTTCAGAAACAATTTTGAAAATAATAATAAAGTGGGAACATGCAGTCTACCCAGTTTCAGAACTTCTGCGATAGTTTTACTAAGGACGATTGTGTGGTATCTGCAGAAGGACAGACACAGATCAATAGAACAGAACAAAGAACCCAGAAAGAGTCCCCACAAATACGCTCAACTGAGTTTTGAAAAGGGAGCCAAAGCACTTCAGTGGGGGGAAAGCTGGCCTTGCGACAGACTACAGCCATTTCAAGCTTGTGATGAACACACAGACGCCAGACTCAGAAAACAGCACCAGGAGCGAAGGAAGACGGGGCTTTGACGGCGGTCCCGCCAGGTGGTGACGGGAAAGGAGGGGTAGACGGTGCCCAGGGCTCTGTGGGCGGGGCCAGAGGAGGCACCCAAGGGGCGCGTCCGCGGGCCGAGCGGGCGGGAAGCTGTCCAATCAGCGTCTGGGCAGAAGCGCCAATGAGCGGGAAGGTTGTTGGGCGGTTGACGTGAGCGGCGGGTCTGAGCCCCGGCAGCTGAGCGCGGCGGAAGCGAGCCCTCCTTCCCTCTCCGAGGCTGGCTCGTCCCCCCAGCGCCCGGGGACCCGGTTTCGTTGTTCTCGGTGGGGACAGCACCCCGGAACCTCCACGGCCATGGGCGCTCGTCCGAGGACGGCCTCTTTCAGCTCCTGTTCGTCCTCCTCGACAGACCCAGACGACGAGGGAGTGCGCGGCCCTTGCGAAGATGCTTCTCCGTGCAGAGGTGCCTGCCGGGCGCGGGGACCCAGCGTCCCCGGGGGCCTGGGGCCTGGGGCCTGGGTGGGGGGCGGGCCTGTGTCTCCGGAACACGCTCGTTCGCCAAAAGGGCGCCGTCACCTCGTGCGACCCTCGTTTCGCACGTGTGAAGTGCCCGGCGCGGGGCTTCATTCCTGGAGCGGAGAATGACCTCCCTTGTGCTGTGCGCCAGGCCTGGGGGGAGCGTGACTGGGAATGCGGCCTGCAGCAGGCCGGCGGGGTCTTGGCCTCCTTGGGGCTCGAGTCCTTATGGAAGCCCGACGAGAAGCAAGGAAGTCTAGCGTTGAGAGGGGAGGAGGAGTGCAGGTTCTTCCTCTTGCATAGGTCACATTCCGTTGGGGATCGTCAGGGTGCCCGTTGTGCACCTGAGATCAGGTCAGTCAAGGTGTGTTGGGGCGGGGCGGGGGGGATGGTCTGCCCAGGAGCACGTAGTAGTGGTGCGCAGAGCCAGGACTTTGCAGAGCTCTTGCGTGTCTGCCGCAGGAGGCTGCGTTCTAGGGGTGCAGTGGGGGCCGTGTTGTGAGCACAGATAGGTGTCGGAAAGCCCAGGCTGGGGTGTAGTTCGTTCGTTCGTTCGTTCAACAGAAAGTGTTGAGAGTGTACTTCGTGGTAGGCCCTTCTCTTTGGGGGGGTGGGGGGGGTGGGTATTCAGCGATTGGGAACCCAGGATAAATAGGACAGATACGGCGTCTACCCTATCACCACCTGGTTGGAAAAGACTGGAAGCAAATAATTGCCCATGAAATACATAATTACCGTTTTGCTTCGAGTGCTGAGAACTACGGGGTGCATTCGAGTTTGTCTTTTAGGCAGTAATGTTTAAGCTGAGAACAGAAGGCTAAGAAAAAAACGGGGATGTGGGAGGGTGTTCACTTAGAGCAGGGAAGGAGTGTGAACTGTGAAAGGAATTGAGGGAATGCCCTTGAAGCCGGGGCCACGTAGGGACTGTAGGGACTGTAGGGTGGGCAAGCCAAGGTTCGGGGTTAAGACTTGCAGTTTTTGTGGGTTCCTGGAGACTAAACATAGTGATTTAAGACATGGAGTCCAGAGCCAAGCTGATCGGAGCTCTGCCTCTTATGAGCTGTGTTCCTAAACCATTCTGGGTCTCAGTTTCCTGATGTGAGAAATGGAGATGATGATAATCCCACTTCTTAGATGATTGTAAAGATAAATGATATTTAACGTTAATGAAACACGTAGAGCCCTGTCTGACATGTAGTGGGTGTTAGTGGTGGTTGATTAAATAAAGAGGTAAATACATACATTGGTATTGAAGACTTGACGGTAGTGTGTGGTGAAATTTGTGAAGCTAAAAGCCTTCCAGCCAACTTCATTTCTTCTCCAGTGTTCAGGTGCTGTTGACCACATGTGTAGAACTGTTGAATTAGAAATAATGTTCGCATATCGACTGCTACTTGCTAAGAGACTCTGAAGTGCCATTGAAATAATCAGAAAATACTTTTCAGTAGCATAGTATAATTTTATTTAAAATGTATTGGTAGTCTTGATTATTTAGTATTTGTTGGTAAACGTTTTAGCAAACTTGCCTACTTAAAACAAAGTAAGTTAACTGTAGAGTAATTCAGACACAGCCAAAGGACAGAGAAGTAATATAACTAGAGCTTTCCTTTTCTTGACTCTCTAGGGGATAGTTTTTGTAATTTCTCTGTTCTTCTTTGCCTCAGTTTTCGATGCCCCCCTGTGTCTGCAGCCATCTAAACATTGTAGGGCAAGTTTGGGTTTGGAATTGCAGAGAGTACAGTGGTACCCAGCCCAGAGTGCACATCAGCAGAGCCTGTGGGGCTATTTAAAGAAAACAGAGATGTTCACGTCCTCCTCTACACTCACTGAGTCAGAGTCTTCTGGGATGGGCCCGGGGCTCTAAAGACCACGTATATTTGTCATCTGGTTGCATTTCATGAAAGCCTTTTTAGCACCGGGCTTTCCTTTATCTGAACAACATGCAAGAAGATTGGGAGAATCCATAAGTTAACGTTTGAGGACATTTTGCAGGGCTCTGTCCTTCCAAGTTCTGTGATACCGTGATGTGCATCTTCACTGTAGTGTGTTAAACCCTTAAACTTTGTCAGAAAGTCATGTGATTAATAACGTAGAGATTCCTTGCGTGAATCGTGGGCAGATCACTTTGTGCCTCAGTCCTGTGTTTGGAATGGGGATAAAAATGGTAGCCCACCTTTGGGATGTAAGGATTAAATGAGCAATAGATCCAAGGCAGTTAGCACCGGGTCTGACACAGAGTGAAGCCTTCCATAAATAATTCTTACTTCTTTTGCTTTCCCTCCATTATTTATTTATTTAAATACAGATTTTATTTACTTCTTTATCTTAGAGAGAGAGAGAGAGAGAGTGCATGCCCCTGGCGTGGGGCCAGAAGAGGAGGGAAAGGGGGGGGGAAAGAATCTCCAGCAGAATCCACACTGAGTGTGGAACCCAACTTGGAGCTCAGTCTCGGCACCCTCAGATCATGACCTGATGTGAAATCAGGAGTCGGACGCTGAACCAACTGGGCCACCGAGGCGCCCCTTGATTTCCCTCCATTCTGAATATTATTTGGTTCCAGCTATGTCCTAGCTGTGGGTTAGGCTGGTTCCTGCTGCCCTAGGTTACAGCCATAAAGCCCCTAAAATCGCACTAAGAAAGCCAGTTAGCCTCCCAGGACACCTAGGATTCCCTCCAGGAAAGGGAACCATCCCTTCCTCCCGTGACGGTGGTCAGCATCCTCCACAAAGGCCACTGGAAGCACAGCTGTCGTTAAACACAGTGGCTTCGTTACTCATCCTGAGGGGGAACCCACGTCATGGGGACTGTGGGGCTGATCCGTAAGAAAGAGGGTGTTAGAAAGAACTTACAGGATTTGGGCTTTGGGCGGATGTTTTTGGGAGTGTTCAAGGAAGCAGGGGTGTGCTCTGGTCTGGGTGCTGAGGCGAGGCGAGGCGAGACAGTTCTGGGATCGGGTAGCTCCATCAGTGTTTTCTAGAAGGAGGTGTGAAGAGCGTGACGGACGGTGTCATTCACAAGGAAGACACTCGCTGGTATCAGGCGGGAGAGAGGAGGATTGGCATTTGGGGGTGGGCACGACAAGCTGGTTTTTGTCTGTTTGGACAAAAGAGCAAGGGGTCCTCTTTGGTGTCCCTTCATCACCGGGGCCACGGCACCTCAAGCTGCTGTTCTGCGAGGTCATTTGCGTGCAACCGGAGAAGCACGTGGCGTCTCCTGGAGCGCCAGGCCCGCGGCGACCAGCCGTGCAGCCCGGCTCATGGTGCCAGGCCGCCTCCTCGATGTCAGCACTGCTCTTGCTTCTTTGCCAGTGGAGGGGGGAAGCCTTCAAAAGACAAATAGGTGTTTGCAGGGCAGAAGAAACTAGCCTGGCCGTGGAAGCCCAGGGCTGTGTCATCGGCACCTGACATTGGGCCAGGGAGCGGGGAGCAAGAGAGAATTCTGGGGAGGTTGTCAGAGAATGACTCGTGCGAGGACCAAGGGGTCAAGTGGGGGAGCTGACGTGCTCCGGGTTTTCGGACGGTCCCCAGGAGCCCCGTGGGAGATGCACTGCTGACAAAGAGCAGGTCTGTTCCCCTTTCCTTCCCTGTGGCCACAGCCCTGGCTCCGGTCCCTTCTCCTACCTGCTCTGTTGCAGCAGGTCCCTCTTGTTCTGCCTGCTTCTCATCCAGCTCCCTCTCCCATCCACGTGCTCCTGCTCTGGCCAGGGTGATCTTCTTGGAATCCCACATCTTCTCCTGTTACTGCGTTCCTTGAAACCTTTTGATTCCCCATCAGCCACAAGGTGAGAATCTGTACTGTGTGGCGACTCACTTTGCTTTTCCTGATCCTCTCACGGTTCCCTGGGTCTCCCGCTGCCAACTGGAAATCTGTATATCAATGTCTCTGAATTATGGCAAATCCATTCTTTCCAAAACTTCTCAAGATCCCCTTCCTGTATTCTCCTCCTCGCCACCCCCAGCCCCCCCCAACTCCGTGAATCGGGCCACTGTGTCCTTCAGTTCCCACGTGCAAAAGGGAGGAGTCCTCTTGGAACTCTGCTTTTACTTCCTTACCCCCTTGTGTGATCATTCTCCCAGACCTGTGATTTTATCTGCTAAACATCTCTGGAATCTACCTCCTTTTCTCCACCTCTGCTTTTGCCCTCTCATTCCGAGTTAAGGTCATTTGTGGTCTGCGCCATGGTTCTAGTCTGCTTACTGAGCTTCCAGGCGCTTCTACCGCCTCCAAATCCCTATCTCCCCCTGAAGCCAGAGGTTTGTGGAAGGCCCATTCGTTCATGTCACTGCCTAGTTTCCTGGCTTCTTGTTGCCGTTCGAGATAGACCCAAACGTTCCTTCTGTGTGTGCACGGCTGCTCCGTCCTTCTTCTCCAGTCTTGCTTCCCGCTCGCCTTCCCTGCTGTACTCGATCCGGTCATTCCTTCCAATGTGCCCTGTGCCCGCCGGCCTTGGGGCGGCTCGGCTGCTCCCTCTGCCCAAGATGCTCTTTCCCCCACCCGCCTTGCCTCACGAGCTCTCATCTTCCCTCAGATGACTGCAGCAGTCACTGCACATTCTTTATTGAACGCCTTCTCAGTTGCCAGAGGCTCGGTTCTTGTGCGCTTCCCGATGTGACCCAGACAGACCTCGGTGGAGCTGTTAGGAAGCCTTTCTTCCAGGGAGAGAAGCAGCCAGGAAACACAGAGGCAAGGAATCTGGCACATCAGGGGTCCTGGATGCTGTAGGAGCGTTGGAAGGGGTTGTCCTCTGAGCTGGGATGGCCAGGGACGGCCCCCTGAGGACAAGAGTGGGGAAAGCCTTGCAGGAGGTTGAGGGAGTGGGCCCTGTGCATGTCTGTGGGAACAGTGTCCCAGGCAGAGAGAAGGGCGAGTAGGAAGCCCTCCGTGGAGGGAGCTGGCCTGACTTGTTCCAGGAATGACAAGGCCAGAGTGAGGGAGAAGGGGAAGAGT